AAACAAATGGGTTTGCACAAACCTAATAGTTTACTACATCACCTACTTGAAAATCCGTGGAAATAATAAATTCCATTTATTACTCGTTAGGCAGAGTAGCATGCTCACCGGAGGTGGGGAAGCTCCACAGGCTGAAATTAACATTTTTTCGACACAAAAGGTATTAAGGTAAAAAAACTGAGAGAAATCTAAAACTACTCGCTAACAAGCAATCTAGAGTGATGGAGATGATCAATCTCCCTTCCGTTACACCAATCCTTGTAGAGTCTCCAACTGGGCTTCAACGCCAGCCAATCGCCCAAGTGCAGTGACAGAAGCACGAAAATATGCACTTCCATCTGAGAGCGATTGAGCTCCACAAACACCTTCAGTCGTCTGAGACCTAGAACAGGACGCCACCCCACAAACTCTTAGGAATGAGGAAGATGTGAGAATAGAACCCTGGATTTAAATAGGGTTCTCCACTAGGCATACCACCCCTTTCTCCAGAAGGCTGGCTATTTCCTGCTGGGTCATCTCCACCTTGACCTCATCTCTCGCTAGAAGACCAAGGGGGGGATGAGGAGTCAGAGAGAACTTTGATACCCCCAAGACTCTACTGCGAGTGTCCAGGGGTCAGAAACGACAGGAAATGAGAACGTGAGAAAATAAGTAAATTCACTCCGCGAAAAAAGAATCGAAGCAAATTCAGACTGAGTTGACGATTAAAAAAAAACAGACAAAATCTGGGGCCCTTATAATGGAAAGCCATTACCGTGTAGTCAGAACTGTCAGTGTCAATCGTCAAAACACTAAATTTCTAGCAAGCTCAGTGAACAAACTGTAATCTGCCTCTGCACCGGAACAAAAAGAGTAATGAAACTATACAGGCCTTGTGTGCGTGATCGCCCTTGGGGTGACCCCTTAGACAAGGTCTTTTTCTTAGACAATGTTACCCTAGGGTGTTCCCTGTGGACCCTGTGTTATATTCTCTAATAGATTCAGTTTGGGGCTGTAATCTGTAATTAAGCCTAAGTAGTAATAAATTAAATTTATTATTTCCACAGATTTTCTGGTAGGAGATTTAGTAAACATAGGGTCATTAGGGCTTCCAGTAACATGAACAGTGGGAAACATCACCAAGACTTTTGGACCTTGTGGCTTATGAATGGCTATAAAAGTCATTGACACTTCCAGTTCCGTGAACAACAGGGAAAGTCATTAAGACTAATGGACTTATTTCATGAACAGTGGTGAATGTCAATGGGGTTTACAGTCTCACAAACCACCATGAAATTGACTGGGAGCTTATGTTCTCAGGAAACTTTTTGAATCCGATATGGAAAACATATTGTCCAATGTATGGACTAAATTTGAATGAAATCAATAAATATACAACCTAGATCCAGTTTCTGAATTTCAGCACAAATATCTTGAATCAGATTGTGAAACAAATTGATGTGCATATGTGTAATATATGTGTGATGTATGTGTAATATATGTGTGATGTATGTGTAATATATGTGTGATGTATGTGTAATATATGTGTGATGTATGTGTGAAGTTTGAATGTAATCGGTCCAGGCATGTCTAAGATGTAAGTCTGGATACACACACGCTCACATGGACGGACGCAAAGACAGAGGTCAACCCACAAGTCCCTATTTTCGGACAGAGACTAAAAAATGGGACACACTAAGAAATAATTGTACACAGAATAATTAAGGAATCATGTTTATTCATAATTTTCCTACCCAAGTGTAAAATAATTTGAATACCCCCCCCCCCACAAAAAGAAACAGCCAATTAAATTCATTTCATTGGTTGACTGTCGGGCACAAAGTTGGTTGAAATTGAAACATGCTCAGAAATGAAGTATATAATCTCTTTCAATTCAAACTTGAAACAACAAAACATAATATAGCCATAAAGGTGTTTGTCAACACTATGCAAAGTAACTTCTGATTTTCTGGTGTGTTCATCATAAAAACTGATCAAAACATGCCACCAAACATTCTAAAATAACAGATGGTTCCTCGTTTCCACTTGTGAACTGACCCGTATTCTCGAAGAAAACAATTGTAGTACTAACAATGTAATACTAAACCAGAGTGGCGAGATGTTACAGAACCTTGCAGTTTTATTTTTTTGTTCTCCAACACATGTTGAAAAATTAATACTTAGGCGTGCAATCAAATGAACCATGCTAAAAATGTTGATATTTTCACTGACTCACAAAAGTCAAAAGAAAATTATCATAAGTGTATTTTAAAATAATTAACATTATGCTTAGGTGGTGTAAGAATAAATTATGATGGATATATCATGAAATACCGAGTAAGTCTCCGGAAAACTGCACATAGAAAGCTTACTTACATCTTGCTGCCACCACAGTGAAGTTTCATTTAACATATCAGTGTTTTGGTCCAATGTTGAGAGAAAGTGAAAACTTCATCCTACAGTCACCATGGCAACTTGGTTTCAATATAGAATATAACAAACATTTCCAAACCAAACTTATAATGATGATTAACATCAGAAAGACTATTTAAATTCCATTTTTTTTTTTCTGTAGACATATTTTTTTTCAAAAGCAACTTGAAATATATAAAATGTTCCACGTTTATGTACAATGAATAAGTCTGTGGTAAAACTTAGTAGTCCGACTTCCATATTTTAATTGTTTTATCATTTTCAAGTGTTCCCGAGGCAATGATGTTTTCTGATGGATGACAGGTACAGCAGAGAACAACATCTGTGAAAACAAGAAAAGAAAGTATTGAAGTGAAGAAAAATGTTGTGAATACAATTAGCTACATTAAGCAATGATAGGCGAGGGTTTATTAATAGACGAGATGTACCAGTAATTTAGATCAAAAAGGTTATTGGCTTTCACTGCAGATCCTATAATATGCATTCTACTTTGTTGTTAGTGGCAACCCTTTGAGCAGTTTCAATACATTTCAAGTGACCTATATATAAAAGTCACCATTCTAACATGACCAGTAACTGTTGGCCCTGGTGTGATCAGGTAAATCTATGTATACAGGCAAAATTAATCCCACAAAAGTAAATGCTATTTTAGTCTGACGGTAAGCGTGAGTAGCGCTCTCACTGGCTGAACTGCATCAGACCTCACTAACGTCTGACAGAATAGTGCATGTCTCGTCGGCAAGATCAATACTGTGAATTCGCAAAGTTCACGTCTGCTTGCAATGAGTTTCAATGATGTTCATTTTGGTGGTCATGGTAACACTGTCAATCAAAGCCGTGTTTGCATTGGCAGCAAAAATCAGGCTGTTTTCAACAAGATGATAAACATTGGGCGAAAATTTGCCAGCACCTTATCATGCATTATGTCAAGAAGCAAATAAACTTGTGCCGTGAGTGGTTACTCTTTGATGGCTGTAGCTATCTGACGTTCCTCCAATTTGATTGGTACCGACAAATCGTTGGGGAAGTGAAAAACTACATTGTTCTGTCAGGCGCGTGTTGGTTTGGAGCACCGCGGAGGACGCAACTCAAGTGACCTTGTCAGGCTATTGCCATTTGTGAGTGGCTGAAAGTGTAGAGGGTTGTTATTTATTTCCTCCAATGGAATGTTGGATTATTCAGATAACATGGTTAATCTCTTACCTGTATGTCCCTGTAATTTTTGTACAGTTTCTTTTGTTTGTAGATTCCAAATGTAAACCATGTTGTCTTCTGATCCTGACACTATCCACTGTAGATACAATAAAATTATATACATTTACAAAAACACCATTTGGAACTTTGTTCAAAACACGCAGATGTTACTGAGAATACAACTGACACAAGCATAGAATTCAGTGTGTAAAACAAATCAAATACAGACAGACATTGAGTTTTTAAACCTTCCATTAATTCTCCCATTTTTTGTTAGTGAATTGTAGTCAATCCCAAGCAAATTTCCTGACAATACAAATACGTTGCACCATTTTTCTGCACTTTTTTTTATATTCTTCAATATTTCTGGAAATTAACGCTAATTTTAGAGCCAACAGACAAAATTTGAGTCAATTTTCAGTTTTTACTAAAAACAAGCAGCTTCTCGGCTGAGATAGCTCCGCTGTTAGCAATGCACATTTCAATTAAAGAACTGAAGACATCATTAGAAAATGAACAATATGAATAGTATCAAAGCAATCAGACTTACAGTTTTTAACAAGAAGTCGAAAATATCACTTTTTACCAAAAATGACAAAAATATTCACCAAAATTAGAGAATTGAAGATATCATCACAAAATGCAAACAAATCTGAGAAAGGTCTACATGTAGTATCTATATATGTAATATCAAAGCAATTGAACTATTGGTTTTTAACAAGAAGTCGAAAATATCACTTTTTACCAAAAATTACAAAAATATTTACCAAAATTAGAGAATTGAAAGTATCATCACAAAATGAACAAATCTGAGAGAGGTCCACATGTAGTACCTATATATGTAATATCAAAGCAATTGGACTTGCGGTTTTTAACAAGAAGTCGAAAATATCACTTTTTACCAAAAATGACAAAAATATTCACCAAAATTAGAGAATTGAAGATATCATCACGAAATGAACAAATCTGAGAGAGGTCCACATGTAGTACCTATATATGTAGTATCAAATCAATTGGACTTGCGGTTTTTAACAAGAAGTCGAAAATATCACTTTTTACAAAAATGACAAAAATATTCACCAAAATTAGAGAATTGAAGATATCAACATGAAATGAACAAACCTAAGAGAGGTCTACCCAAGGTACATATACACCAAGTATCAAAGCATTCAGGCTTGTAGTTTTCAAGAAGAAGTCGAAAAAGTAAAACATTGACACGGACGACGACG